GTGGTATTCCTCTATGCACGTCTTGCGTTGGTTATCCAAACTTGAAGAGTACGATGCGCCCATATCGAGGGTATCGCTTCTACATATTAGAGCTTCTTTCGAGACATTATTAAACCCTCCCGCTATCTCTAGAAACACTCCTAAACATATTCTCAATTTTCCATGCGCTGAGCTATCGAGAATTGTCTTTCATCTAAAGTTTCTTTGATGTGTACATCTATTAGCAGTTCCAGGGTTTTCAGTAGAAATTAAGTTAGGCTGATAGGCATATAACTTTTAGAGCATACGTGGCTGCCAAAATCAGTTTTTTCTGTTAAAGAAGTGACTATAAGTGACCATAAAGTCAAGGTGTAGGGATGGTATTCTTAGATATAGTAGTCGAGAGATCCAGCTTTAGTTTAAGACTAAGAGGAAGGTTCTATTACCTTTTGTTTTTTTCCTAGAGCTTCTTAAGTATGGCGAAAAAACTCTTTTTTGGCCACTTGGCCACGTTTTTCTCAAAATTTGGAGCTGATGGAAACTGTATGCTTACGGATTCGTAATCAGCACAAAAAAGTCTATCAAAAACAGCTTTAACATTTGCTGTATCAAAACCAGTGTTGCCGGTTCTATCTTTGCTGCACTGAAATCTTTACTGACTCTTTAGGTATTCACACACTTGTGCGATTCTGTCGATGTGAATATGTTCTAGCGGAAGTTACAAAAGGCCATCCATAGCGTTGTTAATTCATGACATAGCTGCCACGAGATGCTCCTTCAAATTCCATGGCAGATTTTTTGGATCAGCATGGGAATTAAATCAGAAGTAACTACACAGGCCCATGGATGTTACATCCCTGAAAGTTGTGGCAGAAACCCACTAAATTTTGATGTTGATCAAAGTGTCCAGATTGTTGATTCACATTCAACGGGAGTTGTCATAAATGGTGGTTTAATATTGGGAAATGTTCGATATGCAACAACAAAATCGATAACAATAAAAAGTATCGCCACGTCAAAATTAAAGCTCTAACTCCATAACCTAGTTATCACACATTTTGACGCGCACAAAAAATTGACTTGAAGGGGGAAAAATCGCCAAACATCGCAAAAAGCGATTTCATAAATTTTTAAGCTCAAATATCCAAAACAAAAATCGACAAATTAGCGCCAAATCGTCCAATCTGGACACTCTGGACACTCTGATGTTGATAGACACATAATCGTAACTCATACGCCATGGAAAGCTAGTAACTTTGGCCGACCGTCAAGTAATCAAGTGCACTCATTTTGGCACGAGTTTTATAATAATAACTCAAATAAAATAAAAAAGGTCCACACTGATTGATTGGCTTGCCCGCCAGCCCGAGTTCCTCGCATGCCATGGCTTATAAGTTATCTATGAACAACAACAATTTTATATGGTTTATATAAAAATATCCAAGTCGCTGTAACTTTTCTGTTTATTAAGTATACTCGTATTATTTTAAAACATCTCATGAAAAAAAATTTGTTAAGCTAAGGAGCTGCTCCAATTCGACGACATCTTAAAAAGATGTATAGTACCACAAAATATCTTCAAGGACACATCAGACTTGGAAACCAATTCATAAATAAATACCATAAGAAGAAATTTCTATTAAGGCTCTTTTTAGTACTCGCCAATGACGAAAATTTTTATAGCCCCGAAATTTTCTCAAAGTAATTTTTCAGACTGTAGAGCGACTAACCCAGTTTGATGTACATATATGTATATATGTATGTATGCATATAGGAAACCTATGGTATACATTATTTTTTTGAAATTTATAAGCTTACATTCATGCACGCTTTCGCTTTGAAGCATTTGCACACCTAGCACAAATTGTTTATGTATGTAATCACATTTTCCATTGGCAAGAAAATGAAAAGCAGTGCATGTCAGCACCGAATTTTTTTTTTTTTTTTTTGTATCCAATATATGTATGTACTTATGTAAGTATCTTTAGCAGCAACATTTTTAAAAATACACACCAGCATGAATAGCATAGGTTATGTTATATGTAAAGGCTGTTTTAGTATGTCTAATGGAGACATATTTTCTTTTACCTAAAGTCCCTATTGATATGGTTTTTGACACGATACTGGCTATATTAGTTTGTCATACTGTCGAAACACTACTGTCGGAAACACCACCACCTCAGTGTAGTTAACTTCGAAAACCGGAAAAGAAGGTGTTTGACACTTTCGATTTCCTTATCGTCTAGTCTTACCAATATCAGCAATATGAACATATTGAAAAGCTCATTCTACTAGCTAACATCCCCATCAGAAATTTGCCAATTATAATCCCTCTAATCAGCCGCAGGAAAGGGCATCCCATACGAAGGGAGACATTTTACCCTCCATAATCAATGCTGGGCCAAACTCTAAGTTTGCAGTGTTGTAAGAAAGATGAACATTAAGGAGACGGACGCCCTCTACGCTCTTCTAATTTTGGACTTGCATTTCTCCAGTCCGACTTTATAAAGTCTCCAGTCAGAAGACAGTAAAAAGTTATCTGCTTGACGATCTTCAGTGTGGTTATCTTCTACCCTTCCGAAATCCCAATGGACATACGCTCTCAAGACACTTCCTAATCTAAGCGAATATTTCTGCTATATATCTCGCAACTGGTAGCCCTCAGATTCCTGTAGATTGTGCTAGGAGGATGCGCTTTGCCCAATATAAATTCAATGTACCTGTGATCGGTAAAACAGGAATCACTGAGGACGCTCAAAGGTATCCAATTAGAGCCCGCTCTCTTTCCTCCATGACCAAGGCAAGGGCTGGTTTTGGATCTCATACGTGGGTTGCTCACGTTGTCCAGAGTTGCCGAGCAAGCCCAAGTATCTTTTCCTAACCGGAACGCCTGTCTTAAACTAAATTTTCTAGAAATCATAGAAAACTACTCGTATACTTTTTTGGTCATTTAGGAATGCACTGAAATCTAAAATATTTCCATTTTTGCTTTGTTTACATTAGTTTTGGTTACAACAGTGCAACAATTTTTTGCAACCCAGAAAACACCATATATTTTGAGTGTCACTTCTAACTATCAAAAAGCATTGAGCATAAAACAAGTAGTTTATCGATGTGTTATATATATATATATATACATACATAAATATGTATGTACGTATATGCATAAGTGCCGTGTAGAAAAAAGTATCAATTGATTAAAATAACAGACTCATAGTTAACTTTTTGCGGGATTTGGATAAATAACTAACTTCTAATTAGCTATGAAAAAACTAACTTTAAATTAGTTGAAAAGTCGTGCAGGAGTCATTCGGACGTTATCGGGAGCATCCATTTAAATATCCTCCTACAAAAAATACTTTCAATACACTTTTTTCTGCACTTAGCAGGTTCTTTTTCGAATTCAGGACAAATAAAACAAAGATCAAAATTTTACATGTAACCAAATAAGAAAATATGTAATGTTAAATAAAAAATAATAAAAAAATATAAAAAATAGAAAAAAAACTTTTTTTTTGATTGATAGCTCATGTCCAAAAGTAGTTAACTACAAGTTAGTTTACATCTAAGGCATCGCCCTTCAAAAGTAGCTAGTTACGGCCAAAGGAAATAGTTAATAAATAGTTACCACTAATCGACTGCTAGTTAGTTAATAGTTAGCTACAAAATAGTCCATTTCCTGCAGGGTAAGTATAAGAGTTGCATGCGCCACCGCGCGCACACACAAAGCTATCTTACTTACTTAAACTCTCTGCCACAATGCAGCTTGGGGCGCTTATTCGCTTCTTTCGCATTTAGCGATTTTACCCTTTTTAGCCATTAAAACAATTTTCAACTTCTCTTTGCTCCACAACGGCACCCACTTGACCGACTAACTGACTTTTTTGCTTGGCTAACTTACCAAGTGATTGAGTCACTGGCTCGTCGACTACATACTACTTACTTCATCCGCTGAGTGACTTACTAACCAAGTGCTGCTGAGGAAATTACATGAATTGACGCCAAAACTATATTTTTTCATAAAACAAAAATCTGGGTCGTTTGTCAGGGTAATACATACATACAAACATATGCAGTATGTACTAAATTTATACATATGTACATATATGATTAGTGTACAAATATTCTTCTGCACACATGGGAATAGTTATTGCCGTAGTTATAGGTACGATTTCCATGTTGATGTCGTTCATTTATATAACCAAACAGTTACCAAGTAGTACTCGTAAAGTGTGCAAGTTAATATGCAATTATGTAAGTTCACATGTAAACGCACATGTAAATGATTGCGCTCATGTTCTTATATGACCGACGTTTGTGGTTGCCACGAAGCCATTAACGGCGGTCATAAAATAATTGCACTTGTGTGTGCACTCAACTTTACATTTCTTAAGTGTGATTTTTTTTCTCTTTCTCTGCATTTTCTACAAATTTCTTGAACTGCAAATACATACACTTATAGCATGGACAGACGGCAATGTTAATCCCGATCAAGGACGCAGTTGATCTGATCAAAATTGTACCCTGACCAAATGACGGTATTGTGGATTAGGCGAATCGCGAGGTCGTGCGCTCGAATGACCATGGCGTACACATTTTTTTTTTTGTAGTTCCTTCAATTATCGAATATATCTATTTTTATGTATTTATAGTTGTTGTCTTAAAAATTTTATTAACATGAAATAGAAATAATATAAAACAATATGATTATACTGCGGACTATGACTATAACAGTTCTGACCGACACGGCCAAACATGGTTGGTTTTACTTTTCATTACCATAAAAGCATCCTTTCTAAGTTCTAGAGCAACGACATTTCGAAATACTTGGAATCTTCTTGACATCAACCTCGTAGTCATGTTTCCAAATGCTTCAATTTCAATGCTTTGGCTCTTTGCTTCGGCTATTAAACATCCATTTCACTAAATACATTGTGAAAGTTACAGTTTTATTTTAAAATATTAAACGTATTTGGGTTATAAGTAAGTTAACCTAGTCATGCTTTATTTGTTTCAGGTGGAGACTGTTGGCGACAAATATATGGCCGTTTCTGGTTTGCCCGATCACTGTGAGGATCATGCCAAATGTATTGCTCGTTTGGCGCTGGATATGATGGATATGGCGAAGAATGTGAAAATGGGTTCCAATCCAGTGGTGAGTAAATATTTGCAGCATTAAAATATGATATTTTATATTCGATATATCTCTTTGAATTTTCCCTTACTAATAAAAAATTATTTTTAAGCAAAACAATAAAACCGACTTAAATTCTCATATAAAAATTTTATGATTACCGTTAATTTCTTCATGATGTAATCAATGATCGGATGTAAACGAAATTAGTACGGGATTACCTCTGAGGGGCTGCCTTTCGTTTAAAAAAGAACTACAGAAATCGGTAAACGGTTAATTTGTACGGTAACATACATAAAAAAAAAATCCGACCAATTGATAACCTCAATCTTTATTTGAAGCCGGTTAAAAATAACTTCATCACCGAGCTATAAACTTTTGAAGAACATTTCTTACAAATTTTTGTAAATTCTTCATACAACATTGTGAAAAATCTGAAAAGCTATCCTTCGCTCTATCAATTGTTACTTCCTCTATGTTGACCATGAGTATCAAAGTAAATTCGGTGCCTACTGTTTTCTTCTCATGCATATTACAAGGAACATAAACTTTTCCCAGGTTTTCAATAAATTAATTACGAGGAATTGGAACATTGGACTCGCGAGGCCTACGCAGAAGTAGAGAATGCTTAGATAATTCCGTCTGGTAGTTCTTCTAATCACTTCAGTAATAAGAGTGTGAAATTATCGTGGCTCTTTTTCAAACAGTTCTCTGCCAAGACCCCTAATAAAATTGGGAGCACCCGCTTTCCGTGCCCGAGAATCACCAAAATGCTCATTATTTTAATTTCGTTGAAAAAAATTTTCAACATTACAGTTTTAAAAACCAATTGGATTTATAAAAAAAAAATTTAGGGAAAATTAAATTTTAACATTTTCCGAAATATTATGGTGGAATGATTAGAACATAATCTTTTTTATAATTCCAATGTGATATGTACTAATTTTTTTTATTTATTTTTTTTGTATGGGAATTTTTATTGAAATTTTAAATTCGATCTTAATTCGATTTCTTAGAAATATTCTTAGCATGCAGTTTTTAATTTTAATAAAGTGCAAACTTCAAGTCGCTAAACATTACTGTTGGTTTTTTAAGAATTTTTTTCGCTGAGGGTGTTACGTAACTTGCTTCATAAAAAAAAATGTGTGTTCATGCGTTATAAGAAAGAAAATGCGCAATAAAACTTTTCTACGAACTTGATTGAAAAGTGGAAAACATCTTGCATTTTCCCGAGTTCTGTATGAAAGCAAAAATATTAGTTTTTGAGGTTTTTGCTGTTGCATGATCCAAATTTTTATAAAAACAAAAAAAATAAGAAAAATTTGGTATGAAAAATGTAAATAAATAAAATCGTCCATCCGTCAGGGTATACTTATTTTTCACGCTCACTGTATATGTATATTAGGGTGCATCGCTCTCCATACAAACAAAAAAAATCTGTATGATATTTTTTTTTATTGTCAGATATGACAAGAAGATGGCTTGGTACTTAGGTATTTAAGTGATACTAAAGAAAACATATATAAATAAAAAATAATAAATACATAATGGAAAATACTTTACCGTACATAGGTATTTAAAGTGTATTTAGTACTTAGAGCTATAAATTTATTCTAGATTATTCTAGAGGCATTAATAATATTGCGGCGCGGAAAATGGGAATGCATTTTAAAAAGGGGCGTGACATTTCTCTAAGATCCAACTGGTAACGTTGTGGATAGAAGGAAGATTATTGAATTTTCTTTTGACTCCTTCCATTGAATATTTATTTATTTATATTCAACAATTTAAGTGAACATTTTATTGGAAAAGCAACAGTAACTTACATAAGGTAGAAGTTATATCTGCTTTTTCGGATATCACTATTTCCACATGCTGGGATTCGAATCAGCGACTCCAGCTTCAAGAGCCAGTGGTCACCCGATTATGATGCCAGCATTGGAATTTGAAAAGAAATTTTATAGACAAAAACTGTTGGGTAAAGCAGTTGTCTATTTTTTTAATTAAACACATTTTTAGTTACTCATTTCCGGCTTGGACTCAAAGTAAAACAGAATCTGCTTTTTAGTTACTCACAAAAGTTTACAAATTAACAACCATACCGCCGATTAAAAGATAAACTTACAACACCATATAAGTAGGTAGTGGCTGCACTTTCTACAACACATTGCTTAATGTGTTGCTAATGTCAGTTTACTAACTGCTCTCCTATGTTAGGAGTAAACTTTTTGATGTGTGTTCTTGAAAACTTACAAGAACGAAATGAAGGACTCGTTTGTTGAACTACACACTTTCACTCACTAATGGTAAAAATCACCACTTTTATAAAACAAATTAAATCTTTTTTGAAAAAATAAAAATTTCCTTCATAACACATTGTAAAAGCGCTCATTGTCAGGAGAAACATATACGCAAATGTATGTATGTACATACGTGAGTCATTTACGTGTTTCTTACTCTTATACATACATACATACATACAAGCGAGCGCATAGTCGTGCAACTTCTGTGTTAAAATAACACAAATTAATTTTAAAGTTTTGTTTTTAATGCTTTAACTTACAATAAAGTTAAAGCAAAGTGCCTGTTGCAGCAACTTTTGATTATCTTTTTGTTTTGTTTTGTTATCTAAGACTTCTTCGCACATCCTCTCACACAACATTGAATGACACACCTAAGCCACTCATAGGTTTTTTTGGTTTTGTTGCACTCGTAGTATGATCGTTGGGACTCAACGTCGAAGTTGTAAGACTCGCAGTAGAAGTGTAGAAGAATGCACGAAAAGCAGCAGTATCAATACCACAAAGAACAACGTCTAAAGTGCAATTAACGACAATGTCGAAAAGTTTTCACTTGGCTTTCATCTTTGTGTTTTCCTGTCTCATCCTTTTCTACTTCCCCCTATTCATCGCAGAACTTACCCGCAACGCTCTTATCTGTGCCAACGTAGTAAGTGAAAGTGGAGCAGTCTAAAGGGGGTAACTATGAGCATTGGGCGTAGTTCATGCAATACACACATACATATTATCTCTTTGTACGCGTACATATAATACTTACCCGCATGCCGGCAACGCTTTAAGTTGCGTATACGCCATGGTGGCTTTGAAAATTTTCAGCGAGAATTACTGCAATATTCGAGAAAAAGTTATTAAAATCCGTTATCCGCATAGTTATACCACATATGTAATGTGGTCTTTGTAAAAAAAAACTATTTAAGTATATTCTCACAGATAACTTCGATTTGCAGAAGACAAGTGTTTACGTATCCTTTGAATTCAAAATACTTACATAGTGCAAATGCTAGAATTAATGGAAAATTTTGAAGCTGAAATCCCGATCTTTCCTCATTGAAAGAGAATTAGTTTCCTTGAGGAGTTAACTGGTGTTTGCTATATCATAAATTACTTAAACCTAGGCACTTTGTTACTATTACTCCGTTTATATTTACCGTAACTGCAATCAGTTCGATAACCTCATAAAAATATTTACTTTAGCGTGACATGTTCTAGAAAAACCCATTTTAAACGTTCTGTTAACTTGCCTCGAATACTTGAGTCCAAAATGCAAAACTTTTCGCGGGGTCTCAAATATTTCGATATTCATGTACTACTCTAGAATAGTCCGCCTGAATGGCTCAAGAAAAATGTTTGCCGCTTTCTAAAGCTAGTCATAAAACTGTGTTACGTACTTAATTTTTGAGCGATTTCCCTCTGCTAAATAAAATTATAAAAAAGTTTTGTATCAACTCCGAAGATTACTTTTCTGCTTTACTTCGCCGAGCCAAAAACAAATTACTAGCTCAACACATCGGGCTGCAGAGGCTTTTAGGTTTCACGGAATGAATGCAAAATTGGCATTTGGGTATTTTGATCTACAGTTAAGCCTTGACTACATACAAACATTTTCGTAATAGTCAAAAAGGGCAGTTGTAAGTCATTCAGCCCCATCTGATAGCACTTTACACATTAGCTGTATAATTAATATAATGACTATTGGATCTAGCTATCACTTAGTTAGAAAACATATTTTTTATAAAAATTAATATTACGAAACAACCAACAAACCTGCACAACCCCTAAATCACGGCAGACATACGAGCAGCACTACACGTCTCCTTCAATTTCGTGCAATTTAACATTTGCCATCAAAGTAATTTTACATGTCCGTGACACGTATCCACACTGTCACCACAAGTGGCGCCGCCGCACACAAGGGTCACTCACTAGTGCCTTGAGCACTTTTGAACAACAACAACGACATCCTGCGAGCGCTGAGCGGATCTGTGCATTAGCGTGTGCTCGAAATAACCAACTCAGCACTAACCGGTCGGCTGCATAATAACACACTTTACTTGATTTAACTTAGCGGTAAATGTGCACTAACTCCAAGTTGATTTTTGACAGATTGCTTGCACATCACGACCATGAAAGCGGGAACTCTTCATCAATTTGAATTTATTTAGTTTTGCACCTCTCAGTTAAGCGCTGTTTGTGTTGTTTTGGTTGGAAGCTGCTGTTCTGCACAAGCAAGTCGTGCGAGAAATTTTATAATTTATCAGCATAATTTCGAAACTTTTCAAATATCTACCGCTGTAATCCTTAAAACTTCCTTCCATTTACTACAGAATGCTATTTGGTATATACATATGAACTTACCTACGAAATTTTTTTTGTAGGTGACCTACTTGCACATCCACATTTTTTTCTATTTTATGCGCCATACACGCACGTACACTTTCATGTGTGAGGAAATTGCTAATGAATATTTTCTCTGCTGCCTGTGGGTATGTATGCATGTATGAATTTTTCGCTTGCTTCTATTAAATATCGAGTTCTCTTGAAAGCTGATCTCAATTATTTCCGAAATGGCGCTTTTTAGCTGAC